ATGGCCCACAGAGACGTCGTACATTACGCTGCCGCGTTTTTGTAACACGTGTCCCGCGATCCAGCGTTCGTGCCTTGGTCGATAGTCTCGGGCAAAAACGCTTTCACCTACTTGGAACTGGGCCGGTTTCGTGTTCACGTCAGGTTGGGAAAGAGCCATCGGTAACGGACACATGGCCGAATTGATAGTTCGCAATTTCCGGCCAATGAGCGCTTCGGCGGGTGATTTTCGATCTTCTAGAGATTCATTTGGAGTGGTCCGATAAACCAAAAGAAATCTCTGGAGAACTTCGACGTCCATCCATTCCCCTCGAGACTTGAGCAGCGCCCACTTGAACGTATCGACTAAACGTTACGCCTGCCCATTGGACTGCGGGTGGTATGGAGGCGAAAGGACGTGCGTGATGGCGTTTTCCCGGCAGAACTCTCGGAAACAGCTTGAGCAGAATTGTGATCCGTTTTCGGATACCAAAGTCTCCGGTAGGCCGCGTTGGCTGAAGAGCTGTGACAACGCCCGTATAGTGTTGGTTGTCGTTGGTGGGACGACAGGCACAACTTCTGGCCACTTGGAGAAGGCATCAATCAGGATGAGATACGTCACTCCACTAATTGTGCCAGCGTAGTCGATATGCACCCGGCGCCAAGGGCGTTCGGGTCGAGGCCAAGCAGCTGGCGGAAGACGTGGAGGGTTCTTCGCGGCCTGTTGACACTTTGCGCAGTCACTGACGTAGTCAGAGATGTCGCGATCCATGTGTGGTCAGTAAGCGTAACTACGGGCGAGTGACTTCATTCGGTTTATTCCGGGATGCCCCGAATGAAACTGATGCAAAGCTCGAAGACGTAGGGCTTTGGGGATCACAACTCGATCTCCAAACATTATAGAGTTGTTTACGATTGCCAAAGCATCTCGGCGATGGAGGAGCTGTCGGAGGCAATCATTTTTGAGGCTCGAGGGCCCCCGCGAATTCATGAATTGGATCGCCTTTTGAAGAGCTGAATCAACTGTGGTTGCTCTTTGAATCACTGTTACCGTCATGGGTGGTGCCCGAACGGACCGGACGAGCTGGGGATCGGCTGAGTCTTCGAAAGCAACCTGCGCAATGACCGTGTCTTCTTCGGGTGTTGGCTGGTTGCTAATAAGGCGAGATAATGCGTCGGCCTGGCCGAAGTCGGTGGTGCGCCGTTACTGAATATCGAAGTCATACCCCAGCAAAATCAAAGCCCATCTTTGCAGGCGGTTGGCAGAGTGTGCTGGAACACCTTTCTTTGAGCCGAAGATGGAGAGCAGTGGTTTGTGATCGGTGAGTAGAGTGAAACGGCGGCCATGGAACATTTTGTGGAACCGCCGAACCGCAAACACCAATGCCAACGCTTCTTTCTCTATTTGGCCGTATTGCTGTTCTGCTGGAGTTAACGACTTCGACGCACGCATGATTGCTTTCTCTGATCCATCTGGGAAGACGTGTAGGATGACGGTACCGACTCCACAGTTGGAGGCGTCAGCTGCCACAATAATCGGTAGTTTCGGGTCGTAGTGGGTCAGCAGCATATCAGAGCTGAGCACGGTTTTCAGCTTGCAGAAAGCTTGCCCACATTCTTTTGACCAACATCAGGGGACGTCCTTTCCAAGCAACCGATTACTCGGAGGCCGGATGTCGTGTAGCGCAGGCAGGAGTGCCGAATAATAACTGATCAGCCCCAGAAAAGAGCGTAAGGATGGGACATCTTTAGGGGGCGGCATCTGCTGTATAGCTCGGATATTCTCCGGGTCAGGATGGCGATCAGAGGCGTCGAAGATGAAGCCGAGATATTTCACTGTTTCCAACAAGAATTGACATTTTTCGGCACGGAGGCGGAGACCATTGTCTTGGATGCGTTTGAGCACCATATCGATTCGCGTGTGCAGTTCAGCGGGAGAGCCAGCGACAATCAGCACATCATCCAGGTATGCGGCCACACCTGGAATGCCAGAGAGGATGGTGTTCATCAACTGCTGGAAGATTGCAGGGGCAGTTTTGATGCCAAACGGAAGACGGTTGTACTGATATAGCCCACGGTGTGTGTTGATTGTGATTAATGGGCGTGATTCTGGTGCGACTTCAATCTGAAGGTATGCATCCGCAAGGTCGATTTTTGCAAAGATCTTCCCACCATTTAGGACAGCGAACAGATCGCCTGTAGCTGGTAGTGGATAGTGATGCTGCTGTAGAGCTGCATACAGGCCGGTTGAGAAATGGGCACAAATGCGGATTGACCCGTTTGGCTTCTTCACCACGATGATCGGTGCTGCCCATTCGAAGTACGTTACAGGAGATAATGTTGTTCGAGACGCTGAAGTTCTGCATCAACCTGCGGCAGCGAGGCGTATGGAACTGGTCTCTTGGGGCGAAAAACTGGGATAGCGTCTGGTCGAATTTGGAGGGTTGCTTGTGCGGTGGAACAGCAACCAAGGCCAGGTTCAAAAACTTTGGCGAAGCGCCGAATAATATCGCCGGCTTGATCTAGGGCAGGAACGTGAGAACGGACCGCGTTGCAGATGGAACTGAGTGGGACATCTGCCAACCCAAGACGGTCGAACCAATCAAGGCCAAGGACTTTCAGTTCGGCAGCAGCAACATAACATGGCCCAGTGAATATCGTTCCATTGAATGAGACACAGCATTGCAGTTCTCCAGAGAGCCGCGGTTCACCGCCACAGGCACTGATAGCGGTTCTGGATGAGCGTCGGATAGGTGGTCGCCCCAGCGTATTCCAAAGTTTCTCCGATATGATCGTGATGTCCGACGCAGTGTGCAACTGCAGTCGGACCGGGCGTCCATTTTTCAGGACTGTGAGGAACTTCCGTTGGGACGGGGCACTGAATTGAAATGTTGCAAGCAGGCTCAAAGTGGAGCCTGTAGTGTCTGTAATCCGTCGTCACATTTACCATTCTTCCTGAACTTGAACCACACTTTGTAACTGTCGTTCACATTGTATCATGATGTTTGTTTTAATGTTACGAATACACAATTTTCCGGCGCGACCTGCTGACTTCTAGCTGAACGACTGTATTTACGCCCGTTGAACTGTTTGTTGGCTGTTGAACCAGTGGGACTAAATCTCTGTGTTTGTGTCAACTGTTAAACGTCACAATAAATCCCTGTGACATTTTTTTAGCCGTGAATAATTTTCCTACCGTGGAATATATCACTCACACGGAAACATCTGCAGGAAATCTCGACGAGTGAATATTTTCCTTTCACACCCAGTTACTGCATTTGGATCGGTGTAGTGGACTACTGGACCTACACATTCGTGAGTTCCCATTTCACTACTCATTGCTTTCCTATTGTGATTTTTGTGATTTTGCATTGGTT